CGCATTATTATCTTCCGCCCACAAAGCAGGGAGAGTCTAGTAGGGCAGGCGCGTTTCTACTGGGAGACTCATTAAATATGCGCCATCCGTTAACCGCGGGTGGAATGACGGTCGCCTTGAATGATGTAGTCATCCTCTCTGATCTCCTGGCCCGCATCGAGAACTTTGGTAACTGGGATGAAATCTCAGCCGTCCTCCGGAAGTGGACCTACATGAGAAAACCGCTCGCATCCACTATCAATACTATGAGTATGAGTTGGGCTGGCCTATTCGCAGCTGAAGGTACGCCAATGTTAGCTGTCGAATGCTTGAAGGCTTATGGTTGTCGATGTACGTAGGCGAGGGGTTTGAGATTCTGCAGGATGGAGCATTCAAGTTTTTCGGGCAAGGTCCCGAGTATTCCGAGGAACCCATGTCATTAGCATCCGGGTCAGTCATATGTTGATAGTTGTCACAATCATGCTTACCTGGTTCCGGAATCCCCAGGATCGCTGCTTCTCCGTTACTGCTGGCACGCAGTTCTCTTTCCATAGCGTTTTACTCCATCTGGGTGTTGTTCACCCATCCCAGACCTGGAAATAAATCTGCTCCGCAAATTCATGAATACCCATTGCTTTTTGTAAAAGCACTTAATGTCGTAAGGTCATCCAATGCCATTTTGGAACATGTTGACTGATTTTTATGGTATAGCTATGGACTATAGGCAGCGTGATGGGGCCGGTATTGTGGGCAGAAATGTGATCCCCTTGCGATATAATAACATAGATCAGTGATAATTTATGACTTCCAATATTATACCTAATGTGCTGCGTCACCTATAATTATTCAATTCTTCTGACTCGCACACTGCTCCAAGTCCGGCAGACATTGCAGCTGGCATAAAGCCATCGATTAACAACCGACATAGGGTCTTGATATGGATGGTGTTGGGCGCCACGACGCTTGGCACTGACATGTTGACATCGTCATTGGTAGTGTTATCGACGTGAAGTGACTTCCAGGTAATCTCAAAAATGTGGGGACGCTGGATTGGGTCAACTCGGAAGCGACATTTGGTTCACTTGGGGATGTACTAAGTTCAATTTATGTCTTTAGTTCTCGACGTCCCCCTGACGGTTGTTTCAGCAGTATTGGACGGAAGAAAACCAAGAAATCATGCATAAATGCCTTATCTCACCCTAAGGAACCTCGTTCCCCTGCACCCCGCCTACTTCGTAGACTGATCCTGCGTTCGCACAGCCTATGCTATGTGTGTAGTTCATCAGTGTGGGCTGCAGATTGGTCGGTGTCTAGAAACTTGGAATATGGCGTTTCAATGTTTGGAACATAATCATCATAAATAAAATGCGATGCTTCATGTGGTGACACCAAGGTTGAACGTTGAGGTCAGTTGAGAGATTCCATAATTCGGATTCGTTCGAACTCGCAAAGAATCTGCTTCCTCTTGTATTTTTGGAACGCCTCTTTTCTGCGGCCAGTAATCATGTTTTTGAATGTTCCGAAATTAATCATCATAAGTACCACAATATAGCTTGGAAGAAATAAAAATAAAAACCGCTCCCTAAAGACTAGTCGTCGATTATAGATCATATTAAGTATACTGTAGAGATACGCACTTAGGTTCGGCCCTATTGAGGTGTGACCAAATGAACGTTAGGTTCGAAGGTTCGCAGGGGGTGTGTGACGTGTGACACGCTATGCTTAGGTTCGATGACCGTTAGGCAGAGCCTGCCAGTGGATGACACAGAGCTTCAATCTACAGTGAATAGGTCTAAGGAAGTTGAGGCTGGGGGCTGTAGCAAGCGCAGACACATGGCAAACACTCAGTACAAGGTCAGACTTTTTTTCATGTTTTTACCGTGTGTCACAGTTTAGGTTCGACGGCCTCAAAATTGGTGTGACTGTCACACAAAATAGGTTCGATTCGCTAGGCGTGTGACGGTGTGACGAACTTAGGTGCGTATCTCTACAGTATCCCATACTATACGCTACTGCTAGTTTCCACATAGACACGCTCCTGTAAAATAATTGAAGTCATAATGGGAGCTGTGTCGGAGTCGGTCGCGAGCTTCGCGTGATATTCTCGCAAGCTAAGGATGAGGCGCGGTCCCAGTATGAACATCTGCATGATTTGGAAGATTTGAACGAAGCCAGAATAAATCTGGGTTTCTAGGTAAGGCAAGTCCTGTAGAAGTGATAGGTAATGACCGCATGCAGAGGTCAATGACAGATCGGCATACCGTTGAGAGCGTTGGAGACAAATAACACATTTCAATACAAGAAACTACAAGGAAACTTGCACATGCAAAGATTTAGCAAAAAAAACAAGATAACCATATTCAGATTATGAGCTCACCTCGCAAAGTAACTCGTGTGAGTTTTAATTAATACCCTGAAACAATCCCCAACAATTCCTCTCGTTGAGTGTTGTCGCAATTCACGGAAGTACTTCACAGCAATCCAGACTGCGAGACACAGTACAAGGACCTCCCATACAGTGCCAAGTATCCAAGTCATGGAAATCAAAAGATGGGCATCCCCCGTATAGTTAATCATGCACTGAAAGGTGCCGAAGAGAATAAATTCCTCTGGTATCTGTCAAGCCTGATGTGCTTAAACATTTCATATATAATTAAAGCTTACCTCCTGAAATATGCGTCAGCGTTATTATGGTCAACACTACATTGGCGATTGTGATGGCCACAAAGATGACAACGAGAAATATCAGCATCTTTCTGGAACCCAGATACATGGCATGTAGCCGAGCGATCATAATGACTTGCATGACATTTCAGTCATGTCAATATCACAGAAATGTATGCTCACCGCCCAGCATCGCGTCTGCAACGATACCCATCCAATCAAATATGTCGTACATGGCAAGACCTGACATATCCAGCAATATTAGTTATCAGCTTGGGAGGATCACAGGTTCGAAACAAACTCACAGCTGTGGGAGTTGTTATATTGAACCGACGAGTTGTTCGAGAATCTCACTCACCCCTATGTGTATGGTAGTTCAATTGTTTAGACAGAAATGGAAGGCATCGGTGCGAAATACTCACTGCATCTGTCGTCGAAATTGTCGGAACATATACTAGAGTATGTTGCTGGTCAGAACAAACATGGTGGGTGTGAGCACACGTACACAGTAGGCTGATCCTGATTATGAGAGTTGGGTAATGAGTGCAACATCAATGGCTTGGACGTCCAAACGTACACGGCAAATCCTATCCCAACATATCGTACCTAGGATGTGTTCACGTCAGTACAATGTGTTCACCACATTTAAAAGCAAAAGTTACATACAAGGAGATACATAATGGTCATCTGGGACCAGTGTTGCCTCTGCCGCAAATTAGTTGTGGTACTTTCACATCGTTCTTTTGATGGATGTAGGAATCCGCTCACCCAGATTAATTCTACCTATTAAACTGTTCTCAGCGAGATGGCCGCTCCTGTAATGGTGTCAACCTACCTCCTGTCCGAATGTAAGTCCTAGAAATACCATAATGTCAATGGTCTTTTCATACTTAATCTTGCTCACCCCAATCGTACATTACCCCAACACAGGAGGCAACTGCGAAACCGCAGCCAAGGTTAATTGAGTCATCAACGTCGTCATGCGGCTGACTCTCACGAACCTACAAAATAGCTGAAAATGAGATTTGCATTGATGATCGGCCACCAACTGGGATCGTTTGAGACTAGGGTCATACTATTAGAGGGTGGGAGCGAGCGAGCGGGGGAACTTGGTGGATATGTAACGGTCGCATGTGTGCTTGATATACCACAATCCAGTGCTTACATCGCCGAAGTGATATTTGAGGGATTGATACTGATTGATTAAAGTAAGTGTTTCAGCATGGATTTCATGAGAAAGACAATGCGCATCCGGGGATACCGATTGGATCGAAACAGCAGTTGTTGGCGAAATCGTAAAGCAGTAGCTCGCGTGGAATGTTTGAACGCCGCAAAAGATTGGAGAACAGTTCGTAACCTGCCAGCGCAATCTTCGAAGTATTCCGGTATTCTTGCTACAGTCAAGTGATGGGTTCGGCCTCGGCCCATCAATGACACCATTGATCAATACAGGTATTTCAGCCGACCTCGTACCGGATCACCACCCATTCGTCATCGCTTTCGTTCCTACTGCCTCCGTTCCTGTCCATATTTCTTTTTTTTGTACAGCTACCCTCTCTTTTGTACAACCGCCCCTTTCCCCCTTCTTTGTACGACTTCCCACCCTTTTGTACGACTGCCACACGCTTGAATGCGAAGTTAATGAATGTGTGATGACTCTAGTTGGGTGGTACACAAGTAAAAACGAAATGGGATGGATGCACCGGTGAATAGATAGATCATGGTCGTCGATGACCTTAAGGAGTGAATAGTCGGTTGAGAGAGGGAGAATTTTCTCCATCCTGAAAAAAAAACTGCCCAAGGAGACGCAGCAACCGATATTGATGAGATCAAGAAACCGAAAAATAGGGAATGTGAACTGCGTGTTTCATGGTATGAACGAGAATGACAGTGGCTGTTGAAAGAGGAGAATTAAGGAGCGTATAAATGTGCATGATGGTGAACGAACGAGCGAGTGTGGGCGTCCTGAGAAATACAGAATGAAATATGGATCGTCGGCATATATGAGGTGAGGAACATGCGAGACATACCTTTGACGATTGGAAACCGAAATCAGGAGCGAAGGGTTGGACAGGAACGAAATAGCGGAAGAGATAGGAGCGAGGTCAAAGTATGAAGTGAAGGCGAACAGAACGAACAGAAAAAAACTCAGAAACTAGGTCAGCTTTTCAAAAGGGCAACAGCAAGAAAAGATTGAGAAAAATAAGTAAGAAGTAACCTGCGAACACCGAACAACAAGATGCAAAGAAAGGACATCAAGTGTAAAAGAAAGGGGAAAGAAAGAAATCAAATGAACTCATCAGATGAAACAGATATACAAAGATGAAGCCAGAAGGGACGAGGAAATCAAAGTTGGATGAGATAGATGTCTGCGAGCACTGCCCACACCAGACCATCGAAAGTGAAATTAAGCAAGCACTCCCAAGCGCGGCCATCCCACTCTCACCAGATATAACAGGACTCGCAACCCTCAAACTCCCAAATGAGATCATATGCGTAGCACGCATCTGGATAGCGAGCACAGGGGCCGGGGGGTGGCAGGTGTACTCAGGGATGCAGTCAAGGGAGACGTAAGGGTACCGCAGCAGGAGATCCAATGGGAAACGACAGTGGGATATGTAATGGAGAGGATGGGGTTGCCTGTGGATATAGGAGTTCAGGACTAAACATTGAGAGGTTGCCCATTAGGCTGTGGCTGATGGGCTTTGACTTCGTCGTGGCCTTCAGCTCCTCCATCTTCTTTGGCTTGAGTTTCTCCTTCGACGCGGATACGAGCAAGGCAGGTGTAGAGAGCGAAACGGTTGTTGCAGCAATCTCTACACTCACTGGTGAAATTTTCTTGTTATCATCTGACAAGCTAGAGAAAGCCTTGGGCAGTGAAAAAGCACTTCTGTCTATGCCTGATCCTCGGACGGACAGAGAGGCGCCGATCCAGAAACGGGAGTGCTAAAGGTGAAATTAAAATAACACAGAGATACTTCGAGAATATTAATGAGACAAGTGGAATTTTACAGAAACGTTGGGCTATGGGAGGAATAAGTACTCTTGATTAAAACAAATTTGGGGCAAAAGCAATGACGAGCGATAGTCTCTGCAAGATAAGGTTTTTACTCACGGCGATCGTCAATGACCATACTAGTAGCTGCCGTAATGGGAAATTAATGACGTGTTCATCTTGGATACAGCTTCACTCTTCGCATCGCGAGGACGACAGCCAATTGCGCTTGTCGTTGGTCGGCGCGTAGAGGACACCGATATCCTTCACTACAAAAAACGAAGAAAAAATCATGCGATCATATTTGTACCAAAGCACGATTGCTTGATCGCAAAAAAAACCCTCATCATGATCTTTGTCGTGAATGGCCCCAGATTCCGTCCTCACGGTCGAAGTGTCTTTTGTTTGCAGATTTTAAGGGCGAGACTTCTTCGGAAAAATTGACTACAAATAGTACCCACAACATAGCTTGAAGAAATAAAAATAAATACCGCTCCTACGGACTAGCCACCAATTGTAGATCATATCGAGTATCTCCCATCGCTATACGCTACTGCTAGTTTTCACGTGGACGCGCTCCTGGAAAGCAATTGGAGTCATCACGGTTGCTCGCTGCATCGGAGTCGGCCACGAGCTTAGTGTGATATTCTCGCAAGCTAAGGATGAGGCGTGGTCCCAGCACGAACATCTGCGATTTGGAAGATTTGAACGAAGCCAGAATAATCTGGGTTTCTAGGTAAGGCAAGTCCTGTAGAAGTTATGAATGATGAATGCATGCAGAGGTCAATGACAGATCGGCATACCGTTGAGAGCGTTGGAGACATAACTCATTTCAAAAACAAGAAACTACAAGGAAGCTTGCACAGCACAAATTTAGCAAAAGACAAGAGAAACCACATTCACGTTATGAGCTCACCTCGCAAAGTAACTCACGTGGGTTTTCATTAACACCCTGAAACAATCCCCAAGAATTCCTCTTGTTGGGTTCTGTCGCATCTCACGGAAGTGCATTACAGCGATCCAGCTGCAGACACAGTACAAGGACCTCCCATACAGTGCCAAGTATCCAAGTCATGGAAATCAAAAGATAGGCATCTCCCGCATAGTTAATCATGCACTGAAAGGTGCCGAAGAGAATGAATCCCTCTGGTATTTGTCAAGCCTGATGCACTTAAATATTTCATACATGATTAAAGCTTACCCCTGAAATCTGCGTCATCGTTATTGCGATCATCACTATGTTGGCGATTCTGATGGCCACAAAGATGACGACGAGAAATATCAGCACCTTTCTGGAACCCAGATACATGGAATGTAACCGAGCGATCACGATGACTTGCATGATGTTTCAGTCAAGTCAATATCACATAGTGTATGCTCACCACCCAGAATTGCATCTGAAGCGATACCCGTCCAATCAAACACGTCGTACATGGTACTGCCTAACACATTCAGCAACATTAGTTATCAGCTTTTGAGGATCACAGGCTCGAAACAAACTCACAACTGTGAGAGTTGTTATGTTGAATCAACGAGTTGTTCGAGAATCTCACTCACCCCTATACGGTGGCTCAATTGTTGGGAATGCAAGGCAATC